CTGTTCGGCGCGAAGTCGCTGCCTGCCGTACTCAATATTTTGAACAGCATCCAGCGCAACGGCCAGGCGCAGAAGCAGCTAGAGTCGGTGAAGCTGCACTCGCGCGAGAACGGTTCGGCAGCGGCACTATCAGCGCAGACGCTCGGCGAGGCGCTCGGCGACCCCTGCGCGTTTGCTGATTCAGACAGCGATCGCGCCGCGGCGCGCGATAGCGGCAGAGAGTGCGGTGCGGCAAACTCTAGATCTGCACAGTTTGCGGTTACAGTGCACCCTTCGCTGCGCAACGAATTCGACTGCAGAGTTTACCAGCCGGATGTAGATGTGTTGGCGTCGATGGGAGAGGACTTTTTGGAGGCGCCCTTCTATCTGCTGCCCGCGCCACAACACGTGGAAGGCACTTGCCACATTTTTAAACATTCGCACGTGACGCGCGCCGACTGCATCGCGAAGTGCTATGCGCCAAAGTTCGGTTTTCAGCACGCTGATTACATATCAGGCCAGGTGTTTTAGGCGGCGGCGCGGCCCGTTGAGCTTCCCCGTGCACGCTACAACCGGACGGATTTTTTCTGCAGCTGTTTTGCTAAAGTTCGTTGCGCGTGCACTCATGAAAATTGAAAAGTTGCAGACACGAAGCTGTTTTGGCCATTTTTAAACTGCACTCTAGCACTCGGAAATTAGCTCGCTTGGCTGCGTGCATCATTGCCGAGATTGTTGCGCGCAGCTTTTCTGCGCTGTAGTCAACTAGCAGTTCGTTCTCTGCGAACCCGCAGTGGTTGTAGTTGGCGAGCAGGTCGGTTTTGTTCAGCAGCACCGTGACCGTTTCGAGCTTCCGTAGCTTCGGCGAGTTCACTGTTTTGGAGAGCTCCTCCATGGCGGAGTCGAAGCGCGCCGAGTCGAACAAGTCTACGATGAACACCAGATGCTGGGCGTTTTCAAAGTAGCACTCCCAGAACTTTCGCAGCTTCGACTGCCCGGCAAGGTCCCAGATGTTGAACACGGTGCTGTTGTAGCGGAGGTTGGCCATGTTCACGGCGATGGTGGGCACCGTGTTGCTTGCGTCACTGTTCGAGCCTTCGGCGTAGTTGCGCACGTGGTTCAGCAGCGTAGTTTTGCCAGAGTTGTCGAGGCCGAGCAGTAGCACTTTCTGCACCTCTGCGCTGCGGACAAGCGAGTACAGCCAGCGGAAAAAGCGAACGAGGAGCATGTCGAGCGGACGAGGTTACATCCTATGCTCCTTTGTTTTGGTTCCGAGGCGGCCAGTTCTAAATCGAATAAATCGCGATCAAAATAGTTTTTCCCGTATTTACAGATTGCGTAGCTAGCGCGCTCTATTTTCCCGAAAATCAGCACTTAATTGGTTGCAAAAATAGGAAGGCATGGACTCAAGCTACATCGCGCAACTGATCGAGGCGGAGAAACGGGCCGAACACATTTTGGAAACCGCCCGCAAAAGTAGGTGTGCTGCGGCAGCACGCAGACTGGCAGGACAAGATTGCGGAGGGCCGCGAAGCTGCGCTCGACATGTGCGCCAAGTTTAGGGAGTCGGAGGAGAAAAAGTGCGAGGCGCGGATTGCACAGCTGCGGCGAGACGGCGCGATCAACCAGAAAGAGCTTCAAGCTGAAGAGCTGAAGCGCCAGTCGATTGAAGAGGGTTTCCGTTCGGGCCGCGACGACGCATTCGACTTTTTGGTGAAAAAGGTGATGACAATCAACACGAACGTCGACGAGGAGACGAGGCACTTTTTGCGCAGCGAGAGCCGCTTGAGCGAAACCGGCAAAAAATCAGCCAATTAAATATATATCTTCGCGGCCTACGCTGAAAACGCGCTCTCAAACGCTTCTCTCGTGCGCTCTGTATGGGAAAAAGATCCACTAACAGGTCGCGCAAAGCTAAAG